AAGAAAATAAATTAATAAACATAGTTACAAGAGTAAAGCATATAAATGGTATGATAAATAGTGAGGGTAATTTTAGAAAAAAAAATCAGAGTTTCCAAGACAAAAACTAATGGACTTTTAAACAATGACAAAACAAATAGAATTAATGGTGAGGGGTAATTTTGGAAATTAAAATCAGGGAGTTTTGACAAATGGGACGATTATCATTCCATTTTTATTAATGGTCAATAGACTTTACACAGGTGCATAGCAATAGCATGTTCCTCTATGTGAATGTTGCTGAATGAAATCCTGTGTTACCCTACATATCCACAAAGGGGGCTGAGATAAGGGTGTCCCCTCTCCCCTACCTTTTTAATTGAGAAAATTCCCGATCAGTACCCTGTACTTTGTGTCGAGTGACAATTTGGTCCCTAAACTTATAAAATGCAACAATTCAGTATCTGATTGTTCAAAATGTGACAATCTAGTACCTATCGTTAACCAGTCCGTTAATCAGCCGTTAAGTGACATTTGAAAAGTCAAAAATTCCCTTCAAATGCCATCTAATTCTCTTTATCAACCATCCAAACCTTGACAAAAAAATGAACAGCCCCAAATCCTAGCCTCTTCTATTCAAAAAAGTTGGTGATTGCTTAGAAGAATCTAGAATTTGGGACTGTTCATTTTATTGTCAATGTTTGGATGGTTGACAAAGAGAATTAGATGGCATTCTTAGAGCATTTTTGACCTTTCAAATGTTACTTAACAGCTGATTAATGGACTGATTAATAGCAGATACTGGATTGTCACATTTTGAAAGTTCAGGTACTAAATTGTCGCATTTTAAAGTTTAGGTACTGAATTGTTGCATTTTAAAGTTCGGGGACCATATTGTCACTCGAGCCAAAGTACAGAATACTGATAAGGAATTTTCCCTTTTTAATTTTTGTCCGGATGTTCTCTTTCATCTCCTACTCAAGAAAACGTCAATTGGCTTCCCAAAGGGTTAAGGTTTGATAGGGGAACATGTTCTCTTAATCACCTTTTTTTAGATGATATCTTTATATTTGGATGGATGGACTTGTGTCAATGAGTTTAAGGACTGCTTGGACTCTTTCAGCAGCTGATTATATCAACTTGTAAATGTCCAAAAATCTTCAATTTTCTTTAATCCCAATGTTCACAAGCGTAATAAGAGGATCATTGCCTCTATCATGGGAGTAAAGTTTGTAAACATCCTTGTAAAATACTTGGGCGCATATCTAGATGACAAACGATACTCCAAACAAAATTGGAAGCTCAGTGTGGAAAAAAAAATTAAATAAATTGCAGAGTTGGAAGGCTAAATTGTTGTCATAAGCAGGTATGGGTGCTAATAAAAAGCGACTTGTAGGCAATTCTCAATTATTATCTCTCTACCTCTCTCTCTCATCTGAAAGGATTACTCTTCCAAAATTAATTTACTTTGTCGTGACTTTTGGTGGGGTTCATTAGAGAAAGACAAATATCTTATCAGCTAAATATCTTAAGCAATATGTACCTCCTTTTGGTCGATTAATAGATCTACCAATTCTTTTGGGGTTTGGGCTTCTATTTTATTTGGTAGATCTTTAATCAAGACCCAGTTATTGGCAATGGCTGGCAGGTGACTATCCAAGATGATCCATGGATTGATGGGTGGAATCAAAATGCTGTAAGAGAGTTGGGACTTTCTTACTTACAATGGTAAGCTAGCTAATCTTATTGATGCAAATACTAGAAACTGGAAACACTCTTTGATTTCTGCCATATTTCCTCAACCTTTAAGGCTGTATTTGGTTTGAAGAAAAAGTAGGGAAAGGAAGGGAAAGATAGGATAACCTATACAAGGTTTATAAAGGTTTTTCTACCTTTCCCTTCCTTTCCCTACTTTTTCCTTCAAACCAAACATAGCCTAAGCTAATGCCATCATCTTACTCCACTACTGTCACATGACACCTCTATGGAGGATACTTGATCTGGATAACTTCTTCTAATGGGTTTTTTCGCCTTGGCTTCCGCACTCTGAGCTCTTCATCAGCACTCTCCTAGTCATCTCAAACTGACACTACTTTTGGTAAGTGGTCTTGGAACCAATTTTGGAAATTCAAACACCTTCAGCCTTGGGTGCACTTATTCATCAGGAAGTGCATCTCTCTCCCTCTCTCTCTTCATGTCAACACTGAGATTGCTAAGAGGTAGTTCATTAATTACAATTGTGTTTACAATATTTATCATTTGCAACAAGAGTCCATGGATCATTTGTTTTTCCATTGCCCACCGGTGCAAAGACTCTGTTTCCTTTCTCCATTAAGCTTGAGAGCGGATTATCATTCTAACTGGTCAATGCTCTACTAACTTTATGAAGTGAGATGGAGGATCCTAGGAGGAATAATGTTTTAGTGTTTGCTAACTGCTCACTAGTCTTTTGGTAAATTTGGAAAGCTCATTGTGGTTTGATCCTCAACAACAAACCTTTTGATATACCATCCATAGCACTGGTCTACTTGCTGATTGTAGGGATCTTTTGAATAGTATCCCTCATTGTTCAATGTGGTTTACTAAAAGATTTGGAAATTGATGGTGTGCGATCTGGCGGCTCTCACTTGGCAAGTGACTCGGACGTTGAGCTGGAAGTTTCCTTTGTCGGTGGCCAAGCTAAGTTTGGTCGAGCTAGGTTTGACCAAGCTATGTAGTTCTGCAAGAGAGAGAGTTAGAGTGCTCAGGCTGCTTTTACCTAGGGTGGGCACTTTGATACTTAAGTTAGCGAAGAGTTCTTTGAGATGCTTAGAAGATTAGAGAGTGTGAGAGTTTAATCGCACGTACCTTCTCTGAGGGGGATGGTGACTTTATATAGGTGTGAGTGATTAGAGACCTTCTGTAATGGGTCTCAAACTCTCGTAGAGTTGTTTCCATTAAGTTGGGAGAGAGTAATGGCATTGGTTATGTAATCTGTACAGAGGGCTAAGGTCCATCTGATTCACTCTAATGCGGATGATGCGGGTAGGTCGGCCTAACGATCAACTCATTAATATTCTAGAGAACTCGGTCTGGCAATGGATCTATGTGATAAGTCAGTGAGCATGCCTTGTAGGTTGCCGATAGTACCTTTCTTGGCTCGTTCGGTCCCTGAGGTAGGTCTCTCCTTGCTTGGAGGTCCTTTAGGTCGGACAGGCCAAGGTACCTTAATTAGGTCAGCCCTGGTGAGGTGCTACTAGTTGACCTGCCGAGGTGATCCACTTACTTAGCGTCGAGGTATCACTTAGAAGCCACGTGTTGTGATGTAATTTGGAGGACCAAATTACCCCTCATCAGAAACCAAATGATGCATATTTTGGCTAGGGAAGCCCTTACTATCTCTTCTTTTTGTACCTAGTCATCTGTGCCTGATTTTTTGCATTGTTTGGTTCTCCATGATTGTTCACTAAACAATTTTAATGAATGAATGGCCTTTTTATTGCCATAAAAAAATTTACATAAACAATCAAATATAGATGATTCGGTACATGTAATAATTCATAAAATAGTTATATACCCATTAATTAGCATATTAATATTAGATTGACTTGAATGTTTTGTTCCAATTGTACACTAAATGTGATATGTAATAATTAATAACTCATATTTTTAATAATGTATTATTTATTTTTATACATATGAGTTTGTACTTGCTTGATGATTCTGGGTGTATAATTTGTAGGATTCAACTATTATATTGGAAATACTTATAACCAATCATGTGGTTATTTATCAAATTGACCAGGCTAAGGGGGCCAAAGCCCTTCCGGTATCATGTCTTTTCAAACACATAGATTTTTCCTAATTGATAATAGTGCATCATTATATTTAGGGTCCATTTGTTTTTTGCATTTTAAGAGGGAAAAGTTGGTCAATGGGGAAATACCCATATTCTTTTTTTTCAAATTTATGTGAGATCCATGGAAAATTTATTTTCCCTGGCAAATAAGTAATATCCATCTCCTAGGTGGGTAAGTAACTTTCCCACCCGAGGGAGAAAGTTGTCAAAACTTGGATGGGACAAAATTATCACTTTAAATAATGGTTTTTTTATGGCTAAGAGGGTCAATATCTTATTTACCTAGGAAATAGAAAAAAAAAAAAACATGAATAGATGCATTTAACTGGATAAGTATTTCCTAAAAAACACTTACTCAAATAAGTACATTTACCTAGGTAATTAACTTCCTGAAAAGCAAACAAGGCCTTTGGGTGTAAGATTGAGAATTGACACATTGATCATTGCATTATTTGTGAAGTAATTATGTAATGTTTACATCCATAAAAAGTTATGCAATGTCTATATATCTTCAATATCGATTATTAGGTATCATTTCAACAACTATAAAGCACTATTTTATGTTTGAACTTTATTTATATTCTTAATCGGCTAAAGGTAGAGGCGAGGCAGTTGAGTGAGACCGTGAGAGTGAGGTGTGAAGTGTGAACCTCAGAATATATTGTATATTATATTTATATATAAATAAAAAACTAAAAAAAATGGAAACATATATAAGCATATACTTGTATATGATTGTATTCACATAAACTAACTACATTTATTTGTAATTTTAGACATTTGAGGATACAATTTATTTCTTTTATGATATTGATAAAAAAATTATTTACTTTATGGCTATTTTATATATTTGGTTATTTATTACATAAAAGAGTCCTCTATATTGAAATTTGTTTTGCACTTTTTTGCCTAAATAAATAATCTTTCTTACCTAATTTACATGTATTCTAATATACTTTTCAATATAGAAAAATTTATAAATTTTTCAAATCAATATTTTTCACTGTACACAACTTAGCTAGAATTAAGTAACATGTGAGTGGATTTCTGGTTAGAGAGCAAATTGTCTTCCCAATCCCTAAGTTCAGATTCATTTATGAGATTTTCCTTTGTAAACCAACTATAGGAAAAGAAACAGGGACAAAAAGATGGACAAAGGATTTGTGGAGCTTGATGCTTAACATTCTTGATCGAATCAGTAATTGCAAAATATATTTCTGATGAAAAAATGTGCTGATCCTTTGTCAAATGTCAACTGAACATGGACTACCTCATGTGGCTCAGTCTTTTCAGTCGTTTCCTGATGAAAAAGGTTATCTGACAATAGAAATACTATTTATCTTTGTAGCTATCGAGATTGATAGCAGAGTTAGAGAATGCAAGTTTTTGTCCCATCTCTCTGAGCTTGATGCAACTACAGCACCGAAGCTAACAAACTGAACATGGAATGCCTTACGATACCTCCTTCCATGATGAATTTTCTAAGCAGACCTCATTAGTTATCAATCATCACCAGGAAGAAGGAAAAAATGCCGAGGTATAACAATAAACCTCTCCCAACGAGGAATTAATTGCTTTGCACAACACAATACCTTTTTTTTTTAATTTTGCAACGAACCATTTATAATACAATTTACAATTCTGAAGCTTCAGATGGAGAGAGAAGGCAGGGGAATCTCGAACTTCAACTGTTAATCTTCCACTGAGATAAATCTGATACTGTATGGATTGAACCTGGCAAGCCATGTTTATTAGGAATGAGCAGGAGAGACCTGATTTGGCTGATCAAGTTGCTGGTCCATTCCCGAGATGCTCAAAGATGAAACCATTGTTTGAGATGGCTCCTTAAGAGGATTATTGCCATCTACTTCTACAACTGATCTTTCCAAGGTGGGAATAATAGGAGGCTTTATTCTTCGGGTAACTGTCATTCTCAACCCCTCAGTTGTGTGAATGGTTGCTCCTGTGGTCATCTCAACCTGTACATTTTTTTTTTTTATTATTTGTTCATTCTATTTGTGAGTGTACCTTTGGAAGTTCTATACAGAAACATATTTGGATGGGTATGGTCAAAATAAGTATAGATGGAGATGAAATGCAAGACTTACTGGAGGTGAACCAGGAGCTATTTGAAAATTGAAATGGCGAGCAAGCATTGCAAGCACCACTACAGTCTGCAAAGCAAGTTAAATGAAGTCTTGAGTAAACAAGTCATAAGTATTTTTTGATGCCTAAACAGGTCATAAGTTCAAACATAGTCTTTCAAGATGCATTAATGAACCTTTTTTTTCAATGTGAAAGTCATGGCAAAAAATATTCTACCAAGAAAAGAAAGTTATAAGATGATGCACAGAACTACTATTAGTGGTACATTGATTGGATCTTTCTATTCTTCCACAAGGCACAAGTACATACAAAAGCATGCCCCATTCTGTTTCCTGGGATATATATCTTTCTTTCCATGTCTTTCACGTATTTCTTTCCAGTAAAAGTGATGGTATTGCACCAGTGCCTGTAAACTAATTATGGCTGTATAAATTTATATGGTGATTAATAGGATTACCTCAAAAGAAGCAAACATATCCCCCACGCACTTGCGCGGTCCCCCACCAAATGGCAAATAACTGAAGAAGGTGAAAGTTTATGTCAAGATTTTAACAGCGTAGACATAAAAAGAATAGTAATGATAATGATGACTCAAAAGGCTTGGCAGTATACCAAAGTGATTTATTTCACATCCATAAATACTCAACCAAAGCAAAATAGCATGGACAATGTGTATTGTGATCCTCTTGCTTTGCTACTAGAAGCATAGATGCCAAAACAAGAACAAAAATCCCAAACACTATTTAAGTTTAGAGTTCACCAAGGAGCAAGAAATATTTACTTTCTTTCTACAGCGTACAGTATTTTACTCTTAGGTACTTACTGTTTCTCTTATATGCTGTTGCAGAATAGTGCTGCAAATAAACAAAGGTGTGAATTGGTGATCTAGTTCACCCATGAGAAGAATATTAGCATCATGTTGTGCATCGCAAGGCCATTGTGATGTCTTGGGATGGATGGTTTGGTGGGAAACTAGGGTTAACAATTGGGAGGACCCTGGATGAGCTGGTACTGAGCACACCCATTGACCCACCCACAAACAAGGGGAGAGGGGGTGACTTCAGCCTTGGGCTGGGCCAAGGCCCAAATTTAGCCATTAGTGCTAGGCTCGAACATAACCTGACAAGTAGTAGGGGTGCAACTTGGGGTACAACCTATGAATTGAAAGGATGGCACCAAACATTTGAAAGCAGCTACAATTTGGAAGAGAGATATTGGGGCAGTGCTTCTTGCCATTGGAGAAATTCTTCAAAGTGAGATTTGTAATGTGTCATTTATCACTTTGTTTGAAATTGTTGAAAATTTAGCTTGTAATGAAGACTAGTTGCATTTTCTGAGGTTTCCTGTTAGCCTTTTTGGTGATCACACAAGCTATGATGCAGATCATTTCATGAATTAAATTTCCATACCACAATCTTTTCACATGTCATGTACTGGAGGGAAATCAATACAGGCCATTGTACTTGAAGAGCTAAGATGATGAAATGGTCTGGACCTTAGCCTCAAATGGTGAGTTCACCAACCATTGGAATGGGTGTTGTTTGATCAAACATATGCATCATTGTCATTGGGGTAGATACCTGGTGTATAATTAACTGGTGAATATTGGCTACCTCAAGACATATGCATCATTGTCATAGAAATACAGAATCAAGTGGAAAGTGGTTTGATCTGGACAATGTTTTAAGAGAAGGGAACTAATCAGGTGATATCAGAAGATTAGATGGATGACTGAGGCCCCAATCTGTGAAGATCACACTCAGATTTTGAGATCTTGACTTGTGCCACCATTTGTCAGATCTTGGATGAACTTTTGAAACTCTCTTCAAAAGATCTGCCTTCTTTTTGAGGACATTTCTGTTGTGATGAGGTACTAATTTATAACACTTACGTCCTTTCTATCCTGAGAATACTACCTGCTAAAGTTTTGGAATCTCAGTAAAATCATTACCATCTCATTCCCCTGCAAAGGAAGCTATATCACCACAACCTCCTAAGAAAGCAGATTTACAGCCATTGGAGGTCGAATAAACAGAGCGCCCCCCCCCAACAAAAAAAAGGCCACACACAGACAAAGGATATAATTATAAATTTAACAAAAAAAAATGCAACAGAAAAGGAGAGTTGTGCCAAATAATCCATATTTTTCAAAGAAATTCACATTCAGTATGGATGAATCTAGCTTCTCTAAGCAATAGCCTCTGTCTCTTGTACTTCCCAATATATATTACTCCTGGGGCACAGACATCCAGGATTACCATATGATCCCTATATCAACCTATTATCTTTTGTTTTTGACAAATATATCAACCTATTATCCTCCATGATGACATTTTTTAGGGCACACAGATATTATTGACCACATGTTTCAGTGGGCCGGCCTAGACTACCAAAGACAACTATATATGTCCATAGGAAATTTTCTTGTAAATGGGTGAATAACTCATTTTTCCAAGGTGTCAAATTTTTAATACTGACCTGTAGCTTTAAACAAGCATAAAAATCATAATTACCTAGAGTATTCAGGAAAGTTCAAATATCCACTATCTTATTTGTCCAACTAACATCAATAACCAGATGGAAAGGTAAAAAGATAAACACGAATGAAGTATCACAACAAGAATGGAAGTGCAAATCAATTCATCAAGAGAATCCATCCAACAGAAAAGAAGAGGGAAAGTCAATATTACATTCCAAACAGATCAAGAAATGAGAAATAAATTTTAAAGAACCTGAAATTTTGGTTGATCTCATTTGGATTTGGTCCATCTAGGGGCCACCTTTCAGGATTGAACTTCTCTGCATCAGTCCAATGATTAGGGCATCTATGCAAGTTCCAAACAGAAATGAAAATATCTTCACCCCTGTCAAGTGTCAATGAACATAATACAACTTCAACATTAACACAATGCTCACATGGTAATATTCATGGATAGAATATTACTATGTAGGAAAGTTTTTGTAAGGTCAACAGAATCAAGTGATTTAGTTGTTAAGATGCATACGATAAGCAAGAATATGCTTATTGTAAAATACAATAAATAATTTGAATTAACTGTTGCACTACTATAGTAAAAAAAAAAGGGAGAATGACCAATCAGCCCAGATCAGAATTTTATAGCCCCATAGTACAGGGGGAATGCATCCTGACCATGAATTGATGCCAAATTCACGGGCAGGATGTGGTTTACAGAAGGGGAGAGGGCTAGAAGTAGGGGGGGGGGGGCTGGAATTCAGAATTCTGCATCGGGTGTTTCCGTACTCCGAAAAAAAAAATCATAGCAAAATGATCTGATGAAAGAACAACTGCATTTAATCTATCAGAATAATATGTCAGAGTACAAACTAAATTAAGCAAAGACATCTTCTTTCCAGTGATATTTTCATAATATTTTGTATTAATACCATAGAAACGTTCTACATATCCTCATTTTTTGCAGTTTCATCAGCAATCAGTGCAAGGAAGACTGGAAAAGCAACTTGTAATTTTCAAGTTAGGTATTCTGTAAATGTTGCTTTCTTTTCTTTCTTTCTTTGTTTCATGCCTAGATTTCAATAAAGGTAGTAAAGCACTTTCAACTTTCGAGAAAGGCAAAATCATGTCAATAAGACCAAGTACCATGCTTTCACATTTTTCTATAGTTTAATTTACCACTTCTTTTAGCTATTGGATCCATGTGCTGATTCAAGCTACCCCACACACCCACCTCCAAAAGTTCACCCAGAATTAAAAAAAAAAAAAAAGAAAAGAAGTGTACAGAGGTGCACCTTTGAATGGTATAGATAATATAACATAATACACACACACACACACACACACACACATATACCAGTCAGTTTAGTTAACTGCCGGTTTTTCGTATTGGTTAATTGAAACCAAACTGAACACTTCTGCCTTTCAAAAATACCGAACCGGTCGGTTTGGTTAACTAGAATTTCGGTTCGGTTTTTCGGTTTTTGATGAGCACCCCTACCAGGAAGGAGAGGTCATCCTTGCCTACTCTGGAGTGATCGGAGATAATGACTACATAAGAGAAGAAAACTTGGACATGTTATAGCAGTAGATCTTGCCCCCCTGTTACAGGGCCTCACTGTTGATATATACTCAGGGTTTAGCTCACTGAGGTGAAGGTGTTTCAAGTGATCATTTGATGGATGAGAGATGAATCAGATGGCCCCTGGAGTTTGAGATACTTCAACATTATTTAGAGCTAGGAGGCTAGAGATTTGTCATCAAGAGGGAGCATGTCATTCAAATGGACTTACAAATCAGCTAACTTGTTTCATGTTAGTCTTGCTTTTGCCAGGATGGGTGGTGCCTTAGTGCCCAGAAATGGAATGGGAACTAGTGTAAGAGCCAAACCATTGGAACATCAATTTGAAAAGCTACTAACATATGGATTGGTGCTAGAGCATGTACATGTGTATATTCACGGATAAATATATGTTATATATTTATGTGTTTTTTATAAAAGGCATTATGTGAAATCATAGTTTTCAAGGTGTCAAGGCGAGACTAGGCGACAGGGGGCGCCTTGTCACCTAAGCGATGGATTTTTTTAAGTAAAAACATGTATCCTAAGGTAGTTCCCTAGGTTCCATAATCATATTTCCTTAATAAATATCCATAATTTTCATAAGAAAAGTATAAACTTCAAATCAACATATTCCAACATATTCATGAGAAGAAAAAGAAGAAAGAAAAGAAAATTCAAAAAATATAGGGGCTGAACCCCTATTTCTGTTATAGGAAAAGAAGAAAAGAAAAGGTGGAAGAAGAAGAAATTAGTATATAAACACACAAAATGAATATTTTAGTTTAAAAATGTCTATTTTATAATTATAACCTAAAAAAATTAAGAATATAAAAGTTTTTTATAACACGCTATAGAAAACTGCTTGGCGATTAGGCGAGGTGAGCCTCCAAGGGCGCCTTGTCGCCTAGGCGCCCACCTAGGTGTCGCCTTAACAACTATGTGTGAAATATTATTTAGGAGGTTATTATGTATGCATGTACACTCCGAGGGCATTACAAACACTGGAATAGGCCCACATGAGACAGTTCTGTACCTGTGTTACACAGATATAGTAAGGTCATGGCTGGATAATGGCATCAAATACAAATTTTACACAAAAAATTGAAATACCCAACATGATACATTTCTGAGTATCATAGTTCTGGACACTAAATTTGGTACAATAGTTTTGACAGCAGACTAAGGTTGGTATTTTCAGTTTCTTACATTTCCACAGTTACACAACTTCTACAAAAAGCTGAAATATGTCAACCTAAATTTAGGGCATATGAAGGTTCACTAGGGATAGCAGTGATCTCAACAATAATATTTAGGTATAATTACTTATATATACCCTGAGGTTTGAGGAAACTACTTATATATACCCCATAGTTCCTACTTATATATACCTTGTTGACTTTTCAAATATTACCTCTAACATATATCGGCTGAAAAGAGGGATTGGTTGGAAAGAAGCTTCGATGAGGAAGAAGTTAAAAAGACTATCTTCAGCATGGATGGAGATATGGCTCCAGGGCTAGATGGCTTCCCTATTCTTTTCTTCCAAAAGTGTTGGGAAATTGTAAAGTCAGATCTTATGGATTTTTTTAGGGATTTCCACTCTTCTGCCATTGTTAACAAAGGTCTAAACTCTACCTTTCTTTGCTTCATCCCAAAGGGGGAGTATTTTAAGTTAAAGATTTTAGACCGATAAGTCTGATAGGGAGCATCTATGAAATTTTGGCGAAGGTAATGGCCAACAGACTTAAAGAAGTCCTTGAAGATCTAATTTCCCCAAAACAATTTGCTTTTGTAAAAGGAAGACAAATTGTGGACAGCATTCTTATTGCAAATGAGTTTGAGGAAGACAGAAAATTTTCTGGGATCCTGGGGGTCCTTGTGAAACTTGATCTGGAAAAGGCGTACAGTAAAGTGAATTGGAACTGTTTTCTTGATTGCTTAAGGCTAAGAGGTTTTGGTAGAAAATGGATCAGGTGGATTAAAGGTTGTATTGGTTCTCCTTGGTTTTCAATATTGATAAATGGTGAAGCGAAAGGTTACTTCAAGGCAATGTTTTAAAACACGGAGGCATGACGCAAGGCTTTCCACTACCTAGAGGCATGAGGCATAATTCAGAACGCAAGAGGCGTGAGCCTCCTTAAGAGGAGGGGGGGTTAGGAGGAGGATGAAGAGGTAGGGGGGATCTCATTTTTTCTTTATTTTTAATAAAAACTTTTTATATTAAGAACAAAGATGCATAACAGTAGTTCAAAGG